AAATATACATATACGTATACATATACATATACATATACATTACATGTATACATATATACACATGTGCATATATATAACACTGCAATAGGTATATACACACCATAGCATTATAAACTCATATACCCGTCTGTATATACATACACATATGTAATTTTCTCATACGTATGACTGCACCCATACCACCACAGGTGGGCAATCGCGAAACAGGCAGTGGTGATAGCGTATCGAACAGGATCTTATCTACACTATTAAACGAACTGGATGGGCTGGAGGACACTGGCCATGTGGTGTGTATAGCGGCGACAAACAGACCCGAGATGATAGATGCTGCGCTTTTAAGGCCTGGCCGATTGGGAAACCTGATCTACGTAAGTGGTAACTGTCAGAGAAAAACGTACGTACGTACGTCTAAGTATGTTTATGAGCTATGTACATGTGTGTGTAGGATGTATGTACGGTGGGGATGATAAGTATGCCACTGATGGATGTCGCCTGCCTGAGATCCGGTATCTTGGGATTGTTAGTCTGTCACGTTGACAATATATTGATGTATGTATACGTATATCACATGCAATATACATATATAATCTATGACGTATATCACATGCAATATACATATATAATCTATGACGTATATCACATGCAATATACATATATAATCTACGACGTATATCACATTCAATATACATATATAGTCTATGACGTATATCACATGCAATGTACATATACAATCTATGACGTATATCACATGTAATATACATATATAACCAATGTATGATGCTTCTAGAAATCCGCTCTAGATTCACCACAAACATGTGAACGCGTGGCGTGTTTAGAGACTAACAACAGATCCCAGATGATTGGTTGATGTTCATGGTAGACGGTAACGCTGATGTACTTCTGGGTCAATAACGCGCTAGGCCCGTGAAACGTTCTCGATTATTACAACATACTTAAACGTAAACGTCCTGTGTATATTACGGCTGCTAAAAAATGTTCGAGGGTTGCTATGGCAATGATTGTTAGTTAGCTAAGATCACGTCAGCTTGATATCGAAGTAGCATTGACGGGCGCAAGGTTGGATTAGGATTATCTTAACGTTATGGCTACCGTTTTAAAAGTATTCCATCTTAACGTTATGGATACCGTTTTTAAAATATTCCATCTTAACGTTCTGGCTACCGTTTTTAAAGTATTTCATCTTAACGTCATGGCTACCGCTTTTAAAGTAATCCATCTTAACATTATGGCTACCGTTTTTAAAGTATTCCATCTTAACGTTGTGGCTACCGTTTTTAAAATATTCCATCTTAACGTTATGGCTACCGTTTAAAAAAATTCCATCTTAACGTTATGGCTACCGTTTTTAAAACATTCCTCCCCCGATACACTCTCTCCCCTATCAGATTTCGGATCCATTCTGCGCTGCAGTGTTTTACAGTGCATTGCAGCCCCTAAACAGGACCCTGTACCCAATACAGATAATCTATAAAAAGAATAACTCTAACCACTGGAAACTCGTATATTCAAGGTATTTTTGAATCACCTCCCCAACCCTAAAACCATAAACCCTAGAACTCATATGTCCGCTCCATGCACCAGGTGCCACCCCCGTCTGAAGCTGCGCGTGTAGAGATATTGCGAATACATACACAAGACATGCAGCTGAGTGCAGACGTATCTCTTGCCCACTTAGCCGAGCTAACGCCGGGGTTTACTGGCGCAGGTACGTATCGTATGTATATACGTAAGTACGTATCGTATGCATACACGTACCTACTTGTGTTGCGTGCAGTGTCAAATCGTCCCACAGTGCTGTCAATGTATATAGGCAGTCAGTATAGGATCAGTTTGTGTTGCGAGGAAATAGAGTGGCCATGCAGCTGAGTACAGACGTATCACTCGCCCACTTAGCCGAGCTAACCCCAGGGTTTACTGGCGCAGGTAGGTATCGTATGTATATACGTAGGTACAAATCGTATGTATATAGGTACCTACTTGTGCTGTGTGCAGTGTCAAATCGTCCAACAGTGCTGTTAATGGTTATAGGCAGTCAGTATAGGATCAGTATGTGTTGTGAGGAAATAGAGTGGCCATGCAGCTGAGTGCAGACGTATCACTCGTCCACTTAGCCGAGCTAACGCCGGGGTTTACTGGCGCAGGTGCGTATGTATATTGTATGGGTGTTTGGGGTTTTCAATGTCAACTTCAACCAGTGTGGAGTTATGCTGTATCAATCATCCTGTATGTGTTTAAATCTTTCAGTATGTGATTATATTGTCTAGTGTATGTGAAGCCTTCAGTATGTATTGGAGTATTTCGGTATGTGTCTTCTATCATTTAGTATGTTTAAGAATCACTTATTTGGTTTGTAGAAGCACTCGGTAGCGAATCAATATGTGCTGTGATGAAACATATGGGCCTTTTAGCTGATTTTGGAGTCAACATTTATACAATTTTAACATGAGCAGGTAGGAGTATCTCTGTATGAGAAATTATTATAGAACCACTCCATGTTGACTGGGACTTCTGGAGCAAGTGTTTGTACCGGATGTTGTATAGCGCTCGTTCTGTATATATTTATCGCAAAGAAAAATAAAATAAACGCAATGTTTGCTTGTATGTACATACAGATCATTCTGAATATATCTATCTCAGAAACGCGAAAGTTCGCTTGTGTGAGCGCTCCATCGTATGTATTTATCTCTGAACAACGGAGGATGTCATCTGTGTATAAGACAGGTGTTGGCAGCTGACCTTGTATTACTCACCGGTATACCCTATACAGATATTGAAGGATTATGTCGAGAAGCCGCATTGACGGCGCTGAGAGAAAATATCGATGCGACGCAAGTGGTAAAAATACAGGGGGGGTTTTTTTAAGGGGGGGGGGGGGGTGTTGGCGTGTCATGAATGACATAAGTGTTTCTTACTTGAATGACGTAAGTGTTTATTGCTTGTTTGTATCTTTTTTTTTTTGTAATCTTTATTTCGATTGGATGCGTTGGAGGAGGAAAGAGAGAGAGAGAGAGAGAGTAGAGGGGTACAGAAAGGTTGTGCCTGTGTGACTACAACACTCGTTCCACAAATCCATATCACGTGTATGAGCTCAGATCTATCAGGGCTTGTTTAGATGATTGAAATCAACGAGTGGTCACCACTGCCCATTGGAGCATGCTACATCAACCCTCCACAACAACCGTCGCTCGTTGCTTATATTTGTATTGAAAACAGATGTGCCGTGGCGTTATTGCCTCTGTTGTGTATCGCTTCGGTCGAGCGTAGTACTGATGATATTAGATGTTCTGCCATGAAGAATAGGCACTGTATTTGTATCTCCTGTTCACCGCCAATCTATTTATATGGAATCTAGTTCCGCCATTCAGCAACATCCCAACTCATATCTACCCCACAGGTACTTGTATGGGTAGCGCCACTGCACAATATGAGTGATGGTCCGCATATAAGTCCCTCTGTACCCTCAGAATCTTAGACTTACCGTCCAACTTTCCCTCAAACAACAGACTCTACCGCACTTCGTGGACGTGCTTCCGTTGTTTTCGGGTAATCTCCAGGACACCGCCATGTACGAAGCCTTCGCAGGGTAGTATGTATGACCTATAAATAGATTTGTAATTAGCATTGTTCAGCGATTCAGCATTGGAACACAAAAATAATTTGTTGTCCATCCTTAATATTAAAGATTCAAACCTCTTGATATTGTCGGTATATACATCAGGTATATTAAACAAAACAAAGGTCGTATCAGTGATTTGCAGGTTGCTAGACTGTCTGTCACCCACATTCGAAAAGTTGAATGTATTTCTATTGTAATTATGTATTTGGAAGTAGATTGCTATTCTATTGCTAGTATGTATTTGAGGGTAGATTGTATTTCTATTGTAAGTATGTATTTGAAAGTAGATCGTATTTCTATCGGAAATATGTATTTGTCAGTAGATTTTTGTGCTACTATATGTATTTGGAAGTGGATCGTATTTCTACTCTATGTATGTTTTTGAAAGTAGATCGTATTTCTATCGGAAATATGTATTTGGAAGTAGATTGTATTTCTATTGTAATTATGTATCTGGAAGTAGATTGCTATTCTATTGTTAGTATGTATTTGAAAGTAGATTGTATTTCTATTGTAAGTATGTATTTGAAAGTAGATCGTATTTCTATCGTAAATACGTATTTGAAAGTATATTGTTTTTCTAGTGTATGTATTTGGAAGTAGATCGTATTTCTATTGTATGTATGTATTTGAAAGTAGATTTTTTTGAATTCCGGCATGTGGAAAATATTTTGCTCGATCTTAATACATCATCGGCATTAGAAAAGTAGATTGTTCTGTTTTTCTTACCAAAGTGTATTGATATAGGACGAATGATGAACGTGAACATGTCCTTCTCTCTCTGGAGATATGGAGACATAAATTTCACCTCCAGGGACATACGACTAAAGTGTTTACGTATGACTTGTGGAGACGCAGATATACTCCTTATTAATTAAAATGAAATACAGTTTTCATAGGGGTTTAGATTAAGTAGGCCGTTGTTTATAAATAGGCACTTCACTATGCCCGCTTACATTCTACACTTTACAGCAGTCATCCATAAGAACTTGAACTCTATTTCAAGATTGAAACCCAAAAGGGAAACAGGGTCTAGGATATAAAGTGCTACACATTCTCGAGAGGGTGCTCAGGCGGCTCAGCGGGTTTAAAAGTTCAGACTTCAGATTCAAGCCCAAAAAATAATATAAAGTTTAAACCGTGAACGGGCCCGAGGCGTTACTGCTACATCCAGGGCAATTTTTTATACAATATAACATAATCCTAACCTTGTTGAATACTCCATGTATTCTCGCGAACGAGGTCGATTCTGCGACTGTTCGTACTAGAACTTTCAAACTCACCAGCAGACTGAACTGAGGCAATATTTTGTATACTTTGACTAAACTGAGGCAATGTTATTAATACTTTGACCAAACTGAGACGATGTTATTAATACTTTGACTAACAATGGGTTTTTTTATTTCGCGTTCTAACATAACACATACATCGAAATTATACAACTCGCACAATAGATTTGCGAATGTACCGATAAGCAAGATACACAACAACACGAATGAGCAATGGTCCGTTCCGACGCGAGTTAACCCCTTCAAGGAGATGTCAATAGATAGGTCGTACACACGTTCTGTTTAATACCCCTCATTCGACCACGTGACCTTGTAGTCCGGATAAGTCTTTTCGCACTGTGCCTGAGACGTGCGGTGATTGGCGAGTCCAAAGCCATAACTAAATCCAAAGATATGGATGGTCTTCGCCTGGGTGTCATGCAGTATTCTGCCGCCGCCCTCCACACTGCATGATAAGCCTGTACGACAGGAAGGGATTATTTTAGGGTTTCGTGGTTTTAGGGTTTTAGGGTTGATACCTTTTTTATGGATATATATATATATATATATATATATATATATAATAATAATAATATANATATATATATATATATATATATATATATATATATATATATATATAT